ATATATATATATATATATATATATATATATATATATATACAGCTAGACCCCGACTTACGACGGGGTTAGGGACCCAAATCCAGGTCGTAAGTCCGAATGGTCGTAAGTCCGACATAGATAAAAAATCTACAATGAAATACAGTACAGTAAAAGTAATAAATAATGAGGAATGGATACAGTGTGACTGAGCACTTACCTTTAATGTAGTCAGCTGAATGCACATGGGGCCCCCATAATTTTCTAATTATACATGGAGACTACATTAACTGGAAACGTTTCGGTATAGAAAATGCGTGCGTCATTTGAAGAAAAAAAATAGAAAAAAAAAATAGTCACAACTGCGGCGGTCGTAAGTCCTGACGGTCCTAAGTCGAAGCAGTCGTAAGTCGGGGTCTAGCTGTACTTGTAATACCTACTATATTTACAGTACCTGCTTTTATTGTACCATCAAAACCGTTTTATCTGAAATTATCATGTAAATAGATAAGAAATTACCATTGCAATAAACATATTTGCCAACTAGACATAATCCTGACAGCTGTGTCCTCTTGTCCAACCTTAATACTGTACAACCCATGTTGTACTGCTCCCCCATTATACTTATGTTTTTCAATTCCACTGTAATTTATGTACTATTGTGGACAAAAGTTCGCTCCCTGTAGTGAAACTGAGGCACGTGAATGAGTCTCCGAACTGACTTACCCTGATTGTTATCTGGTGCGGGTGTGCTGTGCGGGTCGACTGCTTCAGTTTGGGAAGGAGCGAACTTTTGTTCACGATAGTACATACTTATAATTTAAATAAAAAAATAAACTAAAAAAAATTTAAATATACAAAATACAGTAATTAAATATTGAAGTGATAACTGTAGTAACATTTTGAGATGTTCTTATTACCACCATGCTATTGTACTATTTCAGATGTTACTAAATGTTACATAATACTGTACTGTACTTCCTTGAGATAAATGTACAGTATATATTAGGTGCCTAAAAGAGAGCTCAGGTTCTCAACTGGCTCAGCCATGTTAATATTGTTCTTATTATCCACTCTGTATCTGTGTTTTTCTGGCTAAATAAACTTTTTCAATTCAATTCAATACATTATCTATATACATGCTGAACTGTAACCTGCATTGTCCATATATATATATGCTTAACCCCACACACTATACCAACATGGCAGGCATAAACCCATCTAGTGTACCAACCCCACACTAGCTCAAATCTCACCTATTGGCCGAAAATAAAAGATGAATTGCATGGTCATCCATTTCCTCCTCACATGAGAGGTACTTGTCGATGATCACCCCAATAGGCGTGTTCCGATCTGAAAATATTTTGCATGTAATGGAATTTTCTTGGGTGCTACTATAGTGTGCAGTATCACAACCCAGTGTCTCGCCCAAGCTTACCCGAAAGGACACAGTGCTGGACAACAGTGGTATTGCTATATTGCTAGTTCTAAGTAGATTAGACTTCATGAAATACTCTAGGTATTCCCATATACTCAATCATAGCTGAAGAATAAAATACTTGGCACAAAAAACAGAAACGCATAGATAAATCTACCTTATTTACGTATATTTACAAATAAAAGGTAGATATAATATAAACGCACTTCCTACTGAATTGGAAGACAGCATAAGTACCACTGACTCCCACGTAACATTCCCTAGGAGAGAAAAAGACAAACCTGAAGCCACGTGACTCAGGGAGAGAAGAGAGGCAGAGACAGACATCTCTTGCTAGGATCTGGAGAAGTACAGAGGAGGAACCTCCTGGGCTCTGACCCAGGCTGCTCAGTAAGCTCTGCCCATCAGCACATGACAGATGAAAGTTATTTAATTTACCTAGCTTACATACATTACAAAGCAATATTTTAAATGGGAGAAGGTCAGAATATTTAAGAGAAAAGTGAGGGGAAAACAAATGTTAAAATAAATATTGAATACGTAATTAACAACAAATGTGCCGACAGAGCCAGAACGCAGCAGCGCACCCTCCACCAGCTTTCCTTCCGGGAAGGAAGCACCAGCTCCGTCTACCAGACAGGATGAGGCGAGAGCCGTGTAAACAATGACATTTCTAACCACACCCTGCAAAATACAGTGTACTTAGCAAATACTGCAGCTTCGGAGAATGGGGGGGGGGTTACTACTAAGAGCAGAGACGTTATCTTAAAGAAAAAATTCTGGCTTGAATGTCATGTACACTAATACTGACACGTTCCCTGATAAGAGAGAGGAGTTTGAAACACGACTGAAAGTACACCAACCCGATATTGTAGGAGTTGTAGAACTGTTGTACAAGAACAGGAGAATCGACCCAGAGGAATGTGAATTCAGTATTGCTGGATGTGACTCATTTACGAACCTTTCTCAAGAAACTTGCATGAGTGGTGTGGTTATCTTTACTACTTATCTATGCTAGGCAAGACCTTAGAGCAAGCCAGGCGAGGGTACAGGGTAAGGATGTTTTTGAAGAGTCCAAGTGGTGTAAAATTCAATTAAAGAGAGGGGACTTACTTGTTGTCGGGTGTATCGGCAGACCCCCAAACTGTAGCCTACTAAATCAAAGGAACTTAAGAGCTTTAATAGACAACGCAGCGATGACTCAATCCTAGCCACCTCCTTATCATGGGGGACTGACTTGAATAACCCTGCTACTCTTTTTGTAGAAACTGAGAGATAAATTTCTGTTCCAACATGTTAGAGACATGACAAATTACAGAGGGGAGCAAATACCCAAGTCTCTAGACCTCATCATAACAAACGAGGTTATGGAGGCCAAACTGGAACACCTTGCCCCAGTTGGCACCAGTCACCATATAGTGTTGTCATTCAGATTTAACTGTTACCTAGTTCAAGATAAGGCCAGGCCAAGGTGCAAATATTACAAGGAAAATTACAACGGGATGAGGGAAGAGATGAGGGGTATCCACTGGCCTGACTCATTAAGGCACAAGAACGCAGGCACTATGCTGAATATCATAACTAGTAAAGTGACCTATTTGATCGATAAATATATACCCAAGATCAAACCCAGTACCTCTAGGAATACGAATGGATCCCTACACGTGAATCATGAGGCGATCGACAAAGTTAAGAAGAAAACCCGGAAATTCAAGACGTGGGTTGGGTCAAACGATGAGCAGGACAGGCAGAGTGTAGAGCGGCTGAAAGCTGGTTGCAAGCGAGGTCAAGTCAAACCCAAAGGCGTTTTACCGCTATGCAAAGTCGAAAGTAAAACCGTGAGTAGGAGTATCAGACCTGAGGCTTGAAGATTATAGTTATGCATCTGACCAGGATAAAGCTGAGGCATTGAACAGCTTTTTTTCCTCGGTGTTCAAAAGAGAGGATGTGATTAACCTCCCTGCGTTTGAGGACAGACGGTTCGACACAGCACCGACCCACATTGTGTTCACAGAAGAGGGTATTAGAAATAAACTGTCCAGGCTAAAGGTTCATAAGAGTCCCGGCCCTGACATGGTGCATCCCAGAGTGCTAAGAGAGTTGTGCAACGAGCATGCAGAGCCCCTGAAGATCCTGTTTTGTAAATGCCTGGATGAACAAAAGGTCCCCAGTGATTGGAAAATGGCTATATGAATCCTATCTTCAAGAAGGGCGATCGTCTCTCCACTAACAACTATAGACCGGTGAGCCTGACCAGCAAATATACAAGGTTCCGCGATGGAACATGTACTTCGAAATAACCTTGTAAAGGATTGCCAACACGGTTTTATGCCGAGGCGCTCCTGCTTAACACAATTGCTCAAGGTATTGGATATTTGGACCCATATTCTGGAACGGGGTGGTAATATCGACAATATATAACTAGATTTTGCCAAGGCTTTCGACAGTGTACACCATGTAAGGCTGAAAAACAAACTGGAAGGGTACGGAAGTCAGGGAAAATTCCTAGCTTATATTCAGGTAGAAGATTTTCTACATTACCGCAAGCAGTGTGTGGTGGTTAATGGCACGAAATCATCATCTGTTCCTGTCACAAGCAGGGTATTGGGCCCGCTGTTGTTTGTTTGTTTCATAAATGACATGCCTGATGCTGTACACTCTTCCATACAAATGTTTGCGGATGACGCCAAGTTATTTCGGGAAATCAAGAACCAAGCGGACTGTGAACAGCTGCAGAGGGATCCCTGTGAGCTCCAAGAATGGTCGAAGAAATGGCGACTGAGATTCAATGTCACGAAGTGTAAGAGGATGCACCTGGGGCGTACCAAGGGTAAGGAGGCTTATAATATGTCTCAACGGGATGAAGAAACTGCACTATTTGAGACTGAATGTGAAAAGGACCTAGGTGTGTACGTTGACAATGAGCTGAAGTTCTCAGGCCATTGCAAGAAGAAGGTAAATCAGGCAAATAAATTATTGGGTTTTATAAGAAGGTTATTCAAGAGTGAAGTGCTTCCCCATCTGGAGTACTGTCACCCTCACTGGTCCCCGAGATATACTAGGGACTGTCAGTTGATTTAAAATGTTCAAAGGATGGCCTGCAATTCGGCACCTCAACTACCCTGAGAGATTGGAGCGCCAGAACTTGCCAAGCTTATACAACAGACGGGCAAGGGGCGACCTAATTGAGGTGTATAAGCATCTCAAGTGGCACTACTCTGTCGAGTGTCCTTACCTTGAGCTGGCGTACGCTTGCCCCACAAGGGGTCACAGCTCAAGGATGAAGAAGCCGCAAGTCCAGAAAACTGTGAGGGCCAACTTTTTCGGAGTGAGAGTTGCGAACTCTTGGAATAATCTGCCAGAAAGTGTTGTGACGGCACCGAGTGTGAGCTCTTTCAAGACAAGACTTGACCAACACTGGAGCAGGTTCAGGTACATTCAGGAGCCGGTGCATGCCCATTGCCCAGTACTTGCCAACAGTCCAAGCGGCTAACGAGCCGATCAGTGGTGAATAGGATAAAAGTAAAAAAAGTAAGTACTGTAAAAGTAAAATGACTACACGGCTACCCATGACTTAGGGATAAAGACCACACCCTTGACTTCTGGTGGATGATCAAATCTGACTGTACAGTGGGTCATGTGATATGAGGCAATAACATAGGAAAAAACCCATATTCTGAGTAAGAATAAAGCATGGCTCACATATAATACAGAAATATAAATATAAATAATAAGTATGTTCCCGTGACAGTAATCTACAATATCTTTAGTCTAATCTAACCTAACCTGACTTAACCTTACTGTACATGACCTAACCTGACCTGACCTAACTTAACCAAACTTTACCTAACTTAACCTACATGTAACCTAATCTAACCTTACATTGAGGTGATTTTATTTATTTATTCAGTTTTTGTTTTATGAATCGGAAAGCAAAATTGTTACGTTAGTTGAAATATCAGAGCAACGCATAGTTCCATATAATAGCTGTTACTATGTGTACAGTGCAGTGAAACTTCTATTTAATGGATTATATAGATGTGAAGGTTCGTAATATTAAGGCTCTATTATATATAAAAAATCTAATGGGCTATATATAGATATGAAAATCCCTTATATCAAAGGTCCGTTAGATGTGAAGCCCCATGTAATAGACTATTTAGTTATGAAAGTACATTATATCGGGGGTAGAGGTTCTTCAGGTGACCCCCAATGTTATTCACCTGGGAAACGCATGAAGATCGTCGGTTTTCCCAGCTTGTTTAGAGACTTGACGAGCATCTTGGCCTGCGTCGTCTTGCCAGTACGGTCGCAGCCTTCCATTACGATTAACGCCCCGCGGTTGCTATTAGCCTTGACTGGGGCATTGGTGTTAATTGTCCGTGTCATCATCATTTTGTCCGGACGAGATAACCTATACAATAAAATAATTAATTAGGCTTCAGATCAGATTAAAATGATCATCTTAATATTAGTAAATTCATATTATTTCACTTGGTGATTGAACACGATTGAACAACCTAACATCCTAACCTAACACTAACAAAACTTAACTTAAAGAAACCATTCTAAAGTCTAACGTGACACTAATTTACCTTAACCCTTTCACAACGGAAGGTTACCCTAAGCTGAATAAAATCGTCTGGTGGTAGTCAATAAAAAAGCCTGGCGGTAGTCAGAATAAAATAGCAAGTACATGAAACAGTGAGAGGGTTATCCTAAAGAAACCAACTTAATTTAATCTAACACTAACCTAACCTAACACTAACCTACCTTAACATAACACCAATCTTAAGAAACCACTTTTAATCTAACATGTCACTAATCTTCCTTAACCTAAAGAAACCAAACTTAATTTAATCTAACACTATCCTAACTTACACAAAAGAAACCAAACTTAATCTAATCTAACTTAACCTAACACTAACTTAACCTAACACTAACTTAACCTAACACTAACCTAACCTAACACTAACATAACTTAGCATAACACTAACTTAACCTAACATCAATTTAACTCAACCTAAAGAAACCACTTTTAATCTAATCTAACACTAACCAAACTTTTATCTGAATAAACCACTCTTAATCTAACCTAGCATCAATCTAGCTTAACCTGAAGAAACCACTCGTAATTGAACCTAACACTTAGCATGCTTAACCTGAAGAAACCATTAATGCTAACCTAACTTAACACTAACCTTATAGGATCTTTTTGGTTTAATGTACAGTTGCAGAAATATGTTTCTACGGACCCTGTGGTAACCCGTGCCTTCAAACGGCAATGTTGCAGTACAGTAGTAGTATCACTGGTGGATAGGTTTGCTATAGGTCATACAGGATGGCCGTTTTGAGACTCGGGTTACCACCAGAGGTATAGGAACACATTTCCGCAACTACAACACAAAAAAAAATTATAATTTTTTTTCTAATGTAGATTATTATGCGGATTCCAAACAAATTAGATTCCTTTCTGGAGAAATTAATAGAAAAAATATTATTACCCTTTAAACTTTCACTGCTTTAGTCTATGTTTTTCGTTGCAGATCGATACGAATGATGAAGTACAGAACGCCAAACAAACCTTTGAAACCCTTACCTAAACTATAAAAATCCAAAACCCATAAAATGATTAAGTTATTCCTGTTTTCGGTGT